AGGTGATGGTGGTGGGACATGTCCTTGAAGGCCACCATGGCTGTGGGACATAGAAGGAGGARGTGATGGGGATGGGACATGTCCTTGAAGGCCACCATGGCCATGGAACATAGAAGGGAGAGGTCATGGTGATGGGACAAGTCCTTGAGCGCTACCACAGCCGAGGGACATAGAAGGGAATGGTGAACAGGATGGGATGAGGCCACCATGGTTGTTGGATAAAGGAGAGGTGATGGTGATGGTACATGTCCTTGAAGGCCACCATGGACATGGGACACAGCAGGGAATGTGGAAGGAACAAGTCCTTGAAGGTCACCATGGCCATGGGACATAGAAGGGGGAAATGATGGTGGTGGGATGAGGCCACCATAGCTATGGGACATAGAAGGGGGAGGTGATGGGGATGGGACATGTCCTTGAGGGCCACCATGACCATGGTAGATAGAAGGGAAACGTGATGAGGATGGATCAAGTCCTTGAGGGTCAACACAGCCATGGAACATAGAAGGAAGGGGTGATGAGTACGGGACACGTCCTTGAGGGTCACCATGGACGGGAGACACCAAAGGTGATGAGCCAAGTCCTTGAAGGCCACCATGACCATAGGACATAGAAGGCAGAGGTGATGGTTGTTGGACAAGCCCTTGAGGGCCACCACAACCATGGAAGATAGAAAGGAATTGTGATGAGGATGGGACAAGCCCTTGAGGGTCACCGTGGCCACGGGACAGAGAAGGGAGAGCTGATGGTGGTGGGACATGGCCATGGGACATAGAAGAGATACATAATGAGGACGGGACTGTCCTTGAAGGCCACCACAACTGTGGGACATAGGAGGGAAAGATAATGAGGATGGGACATTTTCTTGAGGGCCATCACAACCATGGGACACAGAAGGGAGAAGTGACAGTGGTGGAACAAGCTCTTGAGGGCCACCACAACCATGGGACAAGCCCTTGAGGGCCACCACAACCACGGAAGATAGAAGGGAAGGGCGATGAGGACGGGACTATCCTTGAGGGCCACCACGGCCACAATTCCCCCCGGTCCCTGCCAGCGGCGGCCGGGGGCGACGCGTCACCTCTTGTAGACGACCTTGAGGTCCCGCCACTCGAGGAAGCTGCACATCTTGGGCTTGCGGGCCAGCACCACCTGCATGAGCTCGCGCACCATCTTCTTCTTGTCCTTGTCGGCCGTGGCCAGGTACCACTTCTGCAGGCGCAGCTTGCCCTGGCGGCTGAAGAGCAGCATGAAGCGCATCTGGGGACACGGCGACAAGGACACGGCGCGGTCAACGCGGGGACAGGCCATGGGGACAGGGGGGACATGGGGACAGGAGATACGGGGGGACAGGAGATACGTGGGGACAGGCCAGGGGGACCTGGAGACAAGGGTTTACATGGGGACAGGC